ATGACTGTAGTGATGTGCTTGAGCCATCTGGGGAGCTTTCACAGGCCCAGCACATTTAAATCATTTAAGCAGCTGAAAGGTTTTACTGAGATGGTAGTTCACTCATGCTGTATAACGTATATCTACACCATGCAGAACACTTATTCACCCCAGAGCACCTCATATTCAAACTCCTCTGTAGGTTTCCCTGCTTTATTGGGCTTTTTAGGGGCTGCTTACATCCGCAAAAAAGTACCATTAATTTGCATTATGCACTATTTCCCAGAAGGAAAAGTAGAGGACATTAGAGCAATCCCTTCAATGTCTACCAGGCTAGTATAGCTAAGACTCTTGGTCCATCACAACAAATGACCACTTATCTAACTAATTATGCAAAGGATGAGGACAGAGGCTATGGGGTGGCTTGGCTCTGGAGGAGAGGGAACATTGTTCTCTTCTTGCCAAATACTCAGGCCAATAGCAGAGTAACAAAGGCATGAGTTAAGAAAACAACCTTAGGGAGTCCATTTCCTACACTTTTCTTATATTTTATTTTATCCCTTGAGGTCCACTTATAACATTTGTGTGGTTTTATGCACCAAAAATGGTCATAATTCATAATTACATTGCCATTTTCCAACCTCTCTTTATCCCTTAGGATTAAACATGTTGTGGATGGATGTTTGTGTCGCTGTGCCTTCAGGAGTAATATAAGATAAATGAGCTCTGTTCTGATTGGCCGCCCTGTATTGTGCCTCATTCAAAAAGGACCTAGAGCTGAAACACTCCTTAGAACTTCAGTGTGAATGGGTGGAGCTAAACTGCTGCAAGCTGAATAGACATATGGGTTGCTTCTCATGACATCTCAGAAATAATCAATTCAAAACACATTTTGAAACTTTAGCAATGTTTACAAATTTCTTCAAACTCCTTTATATCATAAAAGTGAGGGAAGTTTGATTTTCCATGACATGGGTCCTTTAAAAACCCTTTTAAAAACCAATTATTATGTCAACTAGAGGGATATCCCAAGTGAATTTGCCTGTATTTCCTTATACACTTTGTCATAAAGTTAATTATAAAAAAATTGAAGCTCAACATCAAAATGAACAACAAAAATGAGCTCAAATGTATTCATGAAACAGAGTGAGCAGCCAGCCTTTAAATGAGCAGAAATTAAACAGTCTTTTCATTTGCACCTAGGTCAAACCCCAATTCATCACATCGCACAGTTACATTATTAGATTGTTGTCAATCATGAACTCATATTTAATGTAATGCACATTAAATGAGAGGTTTTGATTTTGAAATTGTGACTAACTTTATATCTGTTTTACCAGACTCATCATCATGTCTATTATCTTATCTAAATCATCGGTACAGTCAGACACTTTGGCTATGACTACTTTGACTCATCAAAATCTGCCCTCAGAGTGGTGGGGACATGGGATGTCCATGTTAAACATAATAAAAGGCATCAGCATGTGGAATTAGAGCTTTCTGTGTGCTACCATGTGTTCTCACTATGTAAAAGAAGCTCAATGCTGCATTTATTGTTGGATATGAGTGCACAATTCAGATAAGTATGGACTTAGTATTGAATAAGTGTAACAGCAAAAGATGAGTGAAATGTGAAGTGTATTTCTAGGCATTTGTTTTCTTGCAAAATCTACATATTTTTGCCTTTTTTGATCATACTCTTTACATATCGAAATAAATGCAATGACAGTATTGAAAAATCTCATTATTAAACAGGATGCTTTTTCTTCAACATTAAAGAGTCATAAAGTAAGGAGTGCTAGCACCCTGAGGAGCACTGGTGGGACACAGATTTCTGCTAAAGGTCATGTACCTGCTATTTAGATTTGAGAAAACGTATCTTAGAGCATGACGAATGATCACATATGAAGGAATAACATATAATGATTAATATTTATACTATATTACTTCCTACATTCCTAGATTTCTAGCAACATATTTTGCTTTCTTTCTTGATATCTGTGCACATTAAAATACACACCCTCCTCTGCCACATCTTTTGGCCAGCTTAGTGTATTTCTGGCATTAAAACCTGGATGGATTTCTTTACAACTGGTTATATAAAGACACTCAAAATAATAATTATGTTTACAAAATCACAACTGGCAGTACACAGCATAATGGAAAAGCAACATCCACAAGAAACAAGGCCTAAAACTGCAGCTAAAATACCAAAATACTGCATCATCTGCAATTTTCAGTTACATATAAACCATGTAGTATTAAACCCATCAGATAAAGCAGAACGACATGGTTGCTTTCAGATTTAACCTAAAGGAAACATTCTGGCACTGGAATAAGCTAATCGAGTGCATGTACAACCGCGTAGACCGACTTCCATTCCATTCTCGACAAATGAATGAGTTTCATATGCAAGCACAGAAAATGCATGTAATGTTTGTCTGAGTGTTTAAAACATTAGTGAATATTTCCAGTTGTGTTTAAACAGCTGAGAAAGGTAATAAAGTCACCTGAGCTGCTTACTGATGTGATTCTGAGAAGACAAAGAGATCCACAGGGAGAGTAGAGGCTGACCGGATTTGCACTCCTGGCCATCTGCAGCACAAGAAAACACTGCCAAAAAAAGAAAAAAAATCCTTTCATGTTTTATCAGAACCAGAATCACTTTATTGTGCCAAGCATAAGGGGAATTTATCATGGTGAGTGCACACATGTATAATATGTAACAGACCAGACAAGTACACAGACCATAATAAATATTCAAAAGAAGATTTAACGAAGGGAAGATCAAATTAAATAAACAGATGAAAATAAATAGAATAAGAGACAAGAGAGCAGATATAAAGGATCCAGCGTGAAAGAAGAGATGAATATGTGAGTATGTACATATGTGCAGAGTCTGAGGAAACCATTATTTACAGTATATTACAGAATGAGATGAACATTTGTGCAATGATGCATTATGGCACAGATTAGAGATGTGGGCCACAGTCAGGGAGGGGTCTACAAAGTATTTTTGTGGAAAAAGCTGTTAGTATGTCTAGTTATGCTGGCTTTAATGGCCATTCTATTTTTGGTCCATTTTTGTTCTCACTTATTACCACCATCTCCCATATCCTGATGATTTTCTCAGATGAAGGTCAGTTCCATTTCTCATTCAATTTCTGTGGCTAACGTGCAACCAAGTGTCTCGGTCAATTAACTATCTGAACTATCAAAGGACAATTCAACATCTTACTACTTGTATTCATCATTGACTTTACTGTACATAACTTTACATGCTACTCAACACTGAATATTGAGTAGCAAAACATTATGAAACACTGCAGACAAGTGTAGATATTGTTAGGAAAGCGGATGTGTATTCATACACGCCCACGTAGATGACCGAGTGTGTCCTGCATAAAATGCAGCTCTGTGTGAATGTTGCACAACGCAGAGCCTTTGCTGAATGCTGCTCTCCGGTCAGCTGTTGCTGACAGACCACTCACTATGGTGAGTCATTACATAACCTGCCAAAAACCACAGAGGAGGCTATTTTAGATTCTTGGACAAAAATGCATCATTGCAACACTGACGCAAAGTTCTTATTCATTATTCATTATTTATAGCCAATATTAGCTAATTGTTATTGGCTGTTGTCCAATGCTCAGTAGTACTAGCACATAAAGGAACATACCTGGCCAAATATTTCACATTTCTAGGTTATCTGAGCACTAAGAGGTAAAATATGCTCATTTTGCAGCATCCTTAGTATTCAACATGACCAATCTTTCTGCAAATATTTGCTCACAAAAAGTGGGACACTTTTTGGCTAATATCAGACTAGCCCACACACCTGCACCTGTAAAGTAATATTGATATTTCATTTAAATTGGTGCTTATTTGAATTTCTATGTTGAAATATGTTAATATGTGTTTTTGTTGAACTTACTTAAAGTGGACCTGACTACAGCCCATTATCAAAACCTGATATAAGCTGGTAAAAAACACAAAACATATGTTGGTTAAATGTCAAATTACTGCCAAAGTCATCATCAAAAATCAAGATTTGTTATGCATTTGATTTTCAGTGTGTACATACACAGACGTCTATATCTATACATAGATTTCTTGCTTATATTTTCAGAACACAGAAGGAAAAGGGGGAGCAGGTGAAGTAAGCCCCTCATCTGATGTTTATGAATTACAGCTTGAGTATGTGACTAATCTTGCAATACTGAAAAGTTACAGTAATTGTAAAGCATTTTCTTGTTATCTTGTTGTAATAAACCTGAATAAAGAAACCAATGGAGAGTTTTGTTGTCTGTTTTAGGCCATTTGGCTGTATATAATCCTTTCCGTAGAGAAAGCTGGATGGCTTTTATCTTCTAAGGCTTGACAATTGTTGAGGAAGCACTGATGTTCTGCTGAACTTTTGTTAAACTTTCAATGTTGTTTCAATACTAATTCAAGGTGAAAAGTGAATAAGAATCAATATTAGATCAGAATCTTGATTCAGTTAAGTTCACGTTGACACTTTAACGTTGATTTAACATCCATTCAGTGACTGATATCTGGGTATTCAGCACATATGCACAAAAATCCAACTACAATTTACATTTTCGCGACACATATGCATTAATATCTAAGTAATATTTGTTGTCATTGGCAAAAGCAGAATATAGTGCCATTACGTTCTGGCGTCACACAGTACCTGAACTCACACCATCCATTTCAACAGACTGTAACCGCAGCACGTGTCAAATTAGGGACAAAGTCCCTAAGTAGTACTAAGTCACCTAGATGTCCTTTAAACAGGACTCTCCGCAGGAAAGGTGCTCTATGAACGCCACCAAAGACGCGTGTCGGCCACATTTGCCAAAAAAACCTCCCTCCCTTTCTCTCCTCGCCGCATCTTGCTTCCCAAACGCTCCTTCGAGCTCCGCCCCGAGGCACTTTCAGGGCGGGGCCAAGCGGACTCAGCGCCCAATCAGCGAGCAGTTCCCGCATTAAAGGCTGAGCCGCCTCGGCCTCATTCATTTTAACGTTCGAAGCGTGGTGAGAGCGGAGAGGCGTAGCTTAGCAACAAGTGAGGAGAACACAGTCCGTTCCACGCGCGCGCTCTGGAATAGTCTTCACTACGGTAACACACTTGTGTTTCTGTGTAACAGATTCCGTCGCATGATTGTTTGTTTAGAATGATTTTTATTGTTTCTGTGAGTTAATTAGTTCTTGATTGAAGTGCTCTTTTGTTTAAAGTTAGGCAGATAATTTCAGGCTGTGATATTTGGAAATATTCGTGGACATTCCTGGAGTACAATATTAGAAAGGTGGTGACACTGTGTTCAGTTTTTGTCCTCCAGATCAGGTTTTCTGCCACTGACAGTGTCAGTCACTTTAGCTCGAGTAGGTTTTGCCTTTTTTTCCTTCTTTTCTGTGCTCTTTGACTTATGCTTGTTCTAGTATCATCCTTATTATTTTTCATATTTTTCCTCAAGCTGTTTAATTAAAAAAAAATATTATGTCAGTTGTGCTGATGGAAAACAGAGGGTTCTTCAGTTTGGCCAGTTTATGGCTGCGTCCAAAACAGAATAACACCATGCTAAATAGAATGTCCAAATTAGTGCATCACCAGCGGAAGTCCATTCATTAGTGTAGTATAGCAGTGTGTGTTTTTGGGCACAGCTTATGAGTTTTATTTGTAACAGAAGTAACCTAATGCACAGTTTCCAGTCATTTTGAGTCTATGTGAATGGCAAGTGTTAAGGAGGTATTAGGTAGATATATTTTTTGGTAGAGACCCACTTAAGAAAAGGGTTCTAAACAGTACCAGAAAGGTTTTTGGTGCAATATAGATCCATTTTTAAAAGGTTCTTAAAGACAGGCTCTCCATCAACACAGAAGAACTGTTTAATCATGCAAAGAACCATTTAAATGGTTTATATATATATATATATATATATATATATATATATATATATATATATATATATATATATATATATGAACAACTGCTTTTAAGAACCCTATTTTTAAGCATGTAGCCTTAGTCACACTGTCTTGTCAAAGGAAAAAGGAATCTTTGCCACTAGACATGTTGCTGTTTGCTCTCTAATAGTTCCCAGACAGTTCTCACATGCTGAAATACAAACTTGACAGCGTGCTACTATGATCTGTTGTACTGATAGAAGTGCTGGGAGATTGCCCATCAGATACTGAAGCACTAAGAGGCACTGAAAATGCGTCCCTAGCCGCCTCCCCTTTTGTCACTCAAACACTTTATCTTTGTTTTTATCCCTTTGCTTAGTCAAAATGCTAAAGCACATGGGGACGATTGCATTCATAATTTAATTACTGATGATGTTTTCTGCCTCTGAATATAGTCAGGCGTGTGTTCAGTGATTCTGTTCTGCTGTTGTGCTGTTTCATAGGAGAGCTTAAGAACAGGTATACATTGAATGTTAGAACATGTTTAAGTTAGAACCGTGCTATTAGATTGTACTTTAAATGATATGTTGGAGTGCTGTCTGAGGGAGGCGTGTGAGAGTGCAGTTACTGTGCGTGAGCTGTGTGTTCCACATGGGGGAGCTGGGATCCTATAGGTCTGCCCTGATTGCACGTCTGTGCCGTGGTACCATCCGTCCTGCTTATTATTAGAAGGAAAAACATCTATGTACATATTATGCGAGGAAAATGATTCTTCCTCTTTGCTCTGTTGTTTCACTGAAGAATATAATTATCATTAAGAAGCATTTATGTCAGAAATGATGAGTGGTCGAGTCTTTTGCTATGAATCACTTTTTTAATTAGATTGAGTGCCATGACCATGTAACCTGCTCTAATGCTGTGTTATGTGCAATGTCATTTTCTATAAGCTACTCTGGTTGCCTTTGATAAGTTAATTCGATCAGTATAGGCCACATTAGAGGAGACCAAGGAGACTGTAATTTGTAAGGGAAAAGGCTATTTCCTTTCAAGGTCTTGAGGTAGTATGGCTCTCTGAATGTAAAGGAATTGCCTTGTAAAATCAATACCACTAGATTTGTATATGAAGAAACATGAGATGCCCTTCTTTAACACTGCATGGTTGTTTAACATCCACCTGGTGGTGGCTGTGCACGTGTTTGTGTGTCTGCACGCGTGTGTGGCTATGTGTGTCATTTATTTAATTTCCAGTCAAAATAGCCTTTAAGTACAAGTTATTTATTTTTCAGTGTTGGGAAAAAAAGCAGAACACACATATTTAACCATAAATAACACACAAGCCTTAACAACTAAATATAATATTTAATTTTTCATTATTTAATGTGTCCACTCTTTGCCTTTGTTACAGCTTCTTTCCAGGAGACTTGTTTTCAGTTTTTTGAAGAAATCTGCAAGGATATTTTTCCACAGCTCCAAAGCTAAGTCTTAGAAGCTGGTTGCATCTGCTTCTCACAATCCATGTAAACCTAAACACATTCAGTGATGTTGAGGTCTGGACTCTGGGGTGGTCAGTCCATTGTTCTGAGAACACCAGCAGCTTCTTTGTTTGATTTGCAGTTTTTTTTCTCCCCTTTTTTGTCCACTTCTACACTTCTGCTTTTTCTCAGTAAGGTCTTCTTGACATCTACACATGCTTTCAGACTCATAGTGTTGAGTTGTCTTCTCACTGTACCTCACAAGGATGTACAGAAACACTTTTTTTCAGATCTGAAGCAAGAGTGGAGCTTAAAATGTTCTTTTAAGGATTAAAGCTTTAAGCACTGTTTATTTTTCCCCTTTTTCCTTCCTTATGCAAGTGGATTATCTTATATTTGACCCCCTCAGTAATATCTCCAAAAAAAAAAATAGTTTGGCTGTTTTGACTGAAAATGAAATAAACCAAAGGTTTCCCACCAAAGATTTCTCACGTTTCCACAAGACTGTATGTGTGCCTGTGCATGCATGTGTCTGTATGTGTGTATGTAATTAGTTTTTTCTTTGTTCTTTCAGTTTCCAAGAGGATGCCAGCTCCATTCAGCCCCGCCTCGCCCCACTGCTGCTTTCAGATTGTACTTAAAACTTGGCTCTCACATCTGCATCTTTCCAACACTTAACCGCCTTTCACAGCTCAAGGTACACTTCTGGATTTTGGCCAGGCTACTTGCACTGAACTACCACACAACACAGTGTACACATCACTGAACCCCAACCTCACTATGATCGCATTAAACACATGGCAATCTAATTTAGTCCCCTGTGTCTGAACTAATGGATTAAAAAGAGGGGAAGTGACTAGGGGAATGCTTCTGAGGTCATTTGAATGCTACTCCTGTATCACATGGATAAATGATGAGTGCCCTTGAACTCTAGCGTGGCGGAAACCATGACTTTCCCTGGGGGCACTCGTACGTCCAGGAGCCATTTCTTTCCCTCTGCGTATTCCCTTGTGTTGGGATTGCATTTCGCCATGCTTTTTCTCAGCACTATGACACGTGCATGCCCCAAGAGCTGCCTGTGCACTGAAAGGAGTGGCCTGGTGGTGGTTCAGTGTGCTTCCCGAAACCTGGAGGACATCCCCTCAGACCTGCCCCATGACACCGTGTCCCTGCTGCTGTCCTCCAATCATATCACCAAGATCCCCAGCCAGGCTTTCAAAGAGCTCCCTCGCCTGCAGGAGCTGGACCTGTCTCGGAATGCCATCGAGAGCGTGGACGCAGGGGCCTTTCAAGGCATCTCGGAAAGTCTTCGCGTCCTCGACTTGTCCCACAACCACCTCCGTGGTGTGCCCAAAGAAGCCTTCGCCCGGCTCCATGCTAAGATCAGTCTGGCCAACAACCCGTGGCACTGCGAGTGCACCCTGCAGGAGGTGCTCCGAGAGCTTCGGCTCGACCCGGAGACCGTCAACGAGGTCAGTTGCCACACGTCTGTCCAGGAGGAGTACTCGGGCAAGCCCGTCATCCAGGTGCTGGACTCTGGCATCAACTTCTGCAACTTCCACCACAAGACCACAGACGTGGCCATGTTCGTCACTATGTTCGGCTGGTTCACCATGGTTATTGCTTACGTCATCTATTATGTGCGGCACAACCAGGAGGATGCCCGCCGGCATCTGGAGTACCTCAAGTCTCTGCCAAGCAGCTCCCAAATTAGCAAAGACTTTGACACAATCAGTACTGTTCTGTAGCACCTCTAGGACAGTGTTCCGCGCGGTCTGGACGTCTCTGGCCATGAATGTATTTGACCACTCGGGCACAGTTACGATGGCACAACAGCAAGCCTTAAAGCTCATCACATCTGCTGAGCAAGGAACACTCCTTCCTAAATAAATACACAATGCTATTTTTTTCATTTGTTATTAAGAGGCAGGTCATTTTGACAATTTGTGGGTTCATGTGCATTTTTCAAATTGTGGTCAAATATCTGTCAGCAGTCTCCGTGTTCCTATTCATTATTTCAGCCCATTACTAAATGCATTATCCTCATCACTGTACTTCCAGCAGATGCTGTTGTTGTCGGGTTAATCCAGCATTGCTGCATCTCTGAGATACAAAAGCTCCGCAGAAGCAAATCCATCCTTCCTGTGTTTCCCAGCAGGTGCTTAACTACCTTCATTTCCTGCATTCATTCATCCGTTTCTGTGCTAATGTAGTGCTGATACAGGGGACAGGACTGAACTGGGGATTGATAGGCCTGTTTATTTGCCTTGTCTCTATTATAGTGCAGCATAAAAGACTCAGGAGGAGCTTCTCTAGCTGCGAAGAGAACCATCACTGCCAAATACTGTTCATTTAAACTCTGCCTTGTTCTTTCTTTTTTTAGGCTGACTTTTATCTGCCCAAGTGCCTACATGATGGTACTACGATACCTAAACACTGTGCTTTGGGCTTGGCTATTCTCAGTCCCTTGCAGTCCCTCTGCCATTGTCAAGAGACCTTTAATATTCAGTGTACTGTACTTTGTCAGTATGGTGTCTGTGGCCCTGTGAGATGGGCTCAATGAGACATAAAATTAGTCGTCCTTGTGTTTGATTGTGTCACAGTGTTACCGTGTTTGGTTGTTCAAACATGACTTGGATGTAGCTCAGTTAGAAAGAAGTTAAACGTGTCATTTCACAGTCTGCAAGTGAAGCATACAGCATATGTTATTTGACCTTAAAGGGCTCTTCTTGTAATGTGTTTCTTTGGTAAATGTAGCTTCCATTGCCCAAGAGCTGTATTCGTTTGCTCTTCACAGTGGCTGGGTTGTCTTCTGAATTATGTATATCATATCAGCATTAGGAAATAAAGGTTAGCAAAGGACACTTTGGCTGTCTTGGTTTTTTGGACTCTTTAGGCCCCTTGGGCTCTCTGACATGCAATCAAACAGCACTATGTCAAGCAGCTCATGTGTGATTTACTTGCTGTCAGACGCAGTCCTTCCTTTCTAATGGTTTTCAGCTTTTAAACATGTGTAGAACTGTATAGCAGATATTGCAAAAATGCACAAAACCAGTAACAGGCAGTTACTGCTCTGGACTGAATATGCATTTAAAAATGATGCATTTATTCTAGTCATGTGCAGAAAATACCACTAATGGATTTAATATGCATTTAAAAGTACTGCATTTAGCAATCTGTTTCTTGTGCTTACTGCACATGAAGTTTGATAATAACACATTTATCTATACCAATTTCTGCAATAATAGTTTTCAATAGACACTTGTTCACTCACCATCTATTTGTTTCTTACCATGTACAATGCACAGAACTGAACTGCTCATCTGTCTCTTTGGGATCAGGTTTTGTAACAGCAGCTGAGAAAGTTGGCATCGTAATAAATAATGGATTTTTAATCTGAGAAGAGTATTGCTGTATACCTTGCAGAAACATTTTCTCAATACTCGCCAAGGTTTCCGCAGAGGTTTGCTCCACTGAGAATGTGTCACGATTGCCTTCTCATCTCGCTGGCTTGTATTCTGGCCATTTTGGAGCTCCATGGCTCCGAGAGATCGATAGCAGATTCATTACAGTGATACGTTTGGATTGCTGCTCCAAACTTGAGTGCTCTTGTCTTAGCAATGAATGTCCTTTGTTGATACCCTGGAGCCATATCCAATTCAGGTGTGACTGGGGATGTTTAAGGATACTTTTTTATGCCACATAAAATTTTAGTCTAAAGCAAGATTTAAATGATAATGTTTGTGTTTAGTCGGTCAAACAATGTCAGATTTTTTTAAACATGCAGCCTGGAATACCTGAACTAATTCATTCATTATCAGTCATTTACGTGTCATTTACTTGTAATGTATGGTAATTAATCATAGCCATTATGTGGCTACTTGGAAATTCGTCATGTCCTTCTTGACAGATTTTCTACTATAATAATATGCTGGGTAGCAACCAAACTTGTATAAAATTGTATAGAATATTTTTATATATTTTACTTGTGCTGTATTGCATGTGAAAAGAGTGTAACAGGTGTTAGTTCTGTGTTTGTTTTGGTGTTTAATTTTAAGTTAGGTTAGTTATTTGTGTTTTCATTTTTCTTAATGACTGTCATTTCTTTTATGTTTTGCTGTTTCAGTGGGAAAAAAGAAGTAAATAAACAAAAATAACTTAAAAAGTGTGACTGTTTAGCATTTTGTTTGTAATTTTGTAACTTCTTTTAAAAAGCCTCCCAGATTTATGAAACATACAGTGGCACCAGAAAGTATTCAGACATGTGTGCCATAGGTACTGTAAGGCAGCATTGATAAGGCTATTTGACACCTGACATAAACCTACATAAACATTTATAAAATCTTATTCCTACAAGCATCAGTTGTCATAACACTTTGTGGGAGGAAACTGACTAAAGCAGCCTTCATGACAACTGATGCTTGTTATAATAAGTCTGTATAAGTTTTCATACCAGTACATGTCTGTTGTTATGAAAGCCTTATGCAGATGTCATGTATCCTTACGAACACTGCACTACAGTTAAGTGTTACTGAATGTTTTTTAACTTATTGTGTTTAATCAGAATGTCCATTCTAAGACTGCAATGTTTCTTATTTTTAAAGTATTCTCTTTAAAAGGTTGCTATCATTTGAGCAGTTTCTTTGCAGACGTCTGGAGGTTTGAGTCCAAAATGTCTTTGTATGCTTCTGAGTTCATAATCCCATCAGTGAACACCCAGGCCAGTGACACCATTGTAAGAAAACAGCCCCAGGCTTAGATGTTTCCACCTTAACCTTAGTGCAGTCTGGTTGACATTGTTCTCCATGCACAAAAAGAGTCTACCATCAGTTTGATGTTGTGTTCTTTGAAACAAATATATTTTTGTTAAAAATTAGCCTACAAAAATTAAAGTTACTAATATTTAAATGGTAAAGTGTCCAAATACTTTCTGGGGCCACTGTACATGGTAGAATCCTTAGGATTTCTGTACTGAATATATATATAGTATACAGTAGAATCCACGAGGCAGCAATGGATTAGCATGCCTGGCAGGTAGCTGCTGCTTCATAGTGTGTGGAGTGCTAGAAAGGCCTGATGGAAGCTGACAGCCTGGCATAGGGGCAATGCTATTTTCACAGCATATAATTGCAGCCAATGGTCTGAGTCGGCAGTCCCATTTAACCAATCACAGTAAAAAATTCAGAGTGATGACGTGTACTATATCATGTTGTACGCTCCAAATAAGAAGCTGCATTTCTTAAATCATGCAACACTAACAGGGAACTCTGCTTTTGCCACATTTTCCTGTTGTGTCTCTAGAGGTTAGCGAGCTCCAGAGTTGTCAAATCCTGGCAGCATAGCTGTGACATCTATTGAACTACTTATTTGTATGTTTGCTGCAAGATGTAAATGGTTCAGTGGTGTGAATATCACAGTAAATGTGATGGTGGTAATACTGCATTGGGTATAGGGTCTTGCTTTTCTCAGCCAGCAAGAAAAATACCAGTGGAAGCTACCTTTTCACCTGTTTCAGACCTCAGTGATATTTTGTACATGCAAGCTCCAAAGATAGCTTTGCATTCATTCGGATTCCGTTTATTATTCTGATTTGAGATTCATATTAAATGTCAGGCATTTGACTCATCACTGTGATCTCTATCAAAAGACTGGTTGGCCTTCGCTTTCACTGTGAAGGCAAATACACTGGAGTATTTTTGTTTGTGAAGTTATTCTTGGTCAGGTTCCTTCGTATTTTCTTGCATTTTTATTAATAATGCAATGTTACAACATGATGCACAATTTGCTCTGTTATGATTGCATTTATTTTTGCATTCTGATGGTAAAATCTGAATTTCTGGTAAGGCAGTCTTTAGTTATAGAGCCCCATCAACTTGGAACCGTCTACAAAAGCAATTGATCAGCTTATTTCAGTTTATTAGATTTTAAGTCATCAAGTATTTGTATCATTATATTTATCTTGTTATTAATTGACCCTCAGCCGCGTGTGTTTGTTTAATTACCCTTATTTGTTTTGATTAATTTATCATTGTGGCTACCTAGTTAAACAAAGGTTACACAAAGATGATCATGTTTGCAGTGTTTCACAGTAACCTGTATAGCTTTGTATGTAGCTCTACATGTTCACATTCAACAGATGCTTCAGTGTGTTGCTGGGTAATGTTACATCTTCCAGCTCTTTCCTAGTTTCCCAGCTTTTAAGAGGAAAAGAATGTGCTCTTAACCCCTTAAAATCCGAGGCTTATTACATGCTAAGGCTTATTATTCAGTAACTACACGGACTTCAATGCTAACTGGTTGAGCTGTTCTTAAGTGTGTAGTAAAATTTTGGCCATTTAAGGGATTAAAGGAATGGTTTAGTGAAAAATCTAATGTACACAATTTCCCACTTTCTTCATTTACTTGATCAAACAACCAAGAAATGTTTGGTGTCCAAATTTTTCTTCTTTAGTTTTCAAATGGAGCCACAAGGTTAACATTGAAACAATCAATAGAAATCAATAGACACCCAAATAGTTTCTGTAAATGCATCCCCAAAACTTCTCTTAAAGTACTCAAATTGCAGAAAAGGTTGTCAGTAAAGTCGTGCTGACTTGTCAATGTGATGTAGAGGCAGAATGACTTAATGTCACTTATAAAACTTAACAAAAATTCACCTAACAACATTTGCGATTAGAAATACCTGTTAGTCTCGAATTTCAAACTAAATATATATGTTTAAAAATAGAAACAATGGAAATTCTTTATATATATATATATATATATATATAGAGAGAGAGAGAGAGAGAGAGAGAGAGATAGACAGATAGATATATAGATATAGATATAAATACACACACAAACACATATATGCAAATAAACACAAATACACTAAAATGTAACAATAATTTCTTTTTTTCAAAAGCCAGTATGAAGTTTGCTTTTAGATTTCTCCTAAATGTCTCATGTGGCATGGTGCACCAGCACCAGCTGATTTGACATAAAGAAGTATGAATTAGCCAAACCAGGTGCACAAACTACAAATACTACTGGGCTGCCACATGGAGAGGTTTGGAAAGGGTTAAACAAACACAGTAACGTGTAAAATAACATATATTTAATGTATTTATTGTATTAAATTCATTTGTATTTACTGTAATAATAGTATTCTGCTTCATAAACCCTTACTGCCCAGGAGCCTAAAACTTTTGCACAATTCAGTACTACTTGGGAGCTTGACCTCCAGATGTTCAGAAACAGCCCTGATCCAAACTATGCAGCTACCATACTCTCTGCTCTAAATGTAAACCCAGGCTGAAAATAGAAATGTATTACATATGATAAATCTACGAAGTGCTAATCTGCTCATATTCATCAAATGTGATCTGTGTGATTTATTGTACAAAATGATTGCAGAGATTGTCATATATCTATAAATAGACTAAATATATTAATGATTACAAGGGAGCATAAATTATACGGTCATGAATTTTAATCATAGCATATTAATTATGTAACTGGCTCCCACTAAACATTGCTTTTCTGTCCTTTATTTAAAAAAATATGAATTAATCTTTCTTAAATGCCTCAGTGGAGCCATGTTATCACTTACAAATTTTCTGCATGTATATGTGAAATGTTATCTATTGATATGTCAGTATTACCCCTTGATATCCATGTTAACTGGCCCTTTGTTCATGCATAATAGGACCCCAGTTTCATGCCAGTCCTGTCCTTTTGAGACAGGAGATGTGGGAGACATGGGGATGCTATGTTGCAGAACCCTGGAGAATCTTGGCATTGAAGCCTTGATCTGGGACATATTAATGTTCAGTGAATCGTTGCTGTGCTGCGCTGTGTTTTGGAAAGGTGGATTATCAAATTGCTCTCAGATGGCAAACTTCATAAATGCTCACTGTGAGCTGGTCTATGTGAATGTAAATGGACCCATAGCTAGATTTGTTAAAATGCACTAAAGTTAACTCATGGAAACTGTACTTCCCAATAGAACTATAAATTGTTTCATTCTTCATGTATATACTAATGCCTTTAATAACTTTCACATTATCTGTATTTTAGCTGTCATGCTATGACATGTTGCCCTCAAATAAAAGATGGAATAAAAAATAAATACACACACTCTGCTGGCCATGAGTCAGAATTTTCTAGTAATATCTTTCAGAAAAGCCGTTATGACAGCAGAGCTGGCAGAGCACTCCAACCTCAGCCAGTCACGTCCAAGATAGCCCTCTGTTTACAATAAACTGAATTTGACAAATTTCAC